GAAATTCTCTCAAAATCTGACCTTTTAGAAATGAAACAAAATCTATGCATAGGGTAATGAGGATTTAAATTAAAATATTAAATCAATGAAAAAAATTGCGATAACGTAATTTGCCTGGGAGCCTTTGCGTTTTTTCAGTATTAGTCACATGACCATGGGCGGGGCCTGATGACGTCATCACTAGTGTTGCTGATCATGAAAAAGTTAGAACACATGAAAATAACTCTGAAGTAACTTAAAATGACGAGGTTATATGAGAATAAATTTTCCCTAGCAACGGCTCAAAAAGATCAGTTAATGGGCCCTTAAAGACTTTGCAACAAGAATTTCCTTCTCCCAAATTCCCCCATCAATTGACCATCAACCGAACGTGATTTATAAAATACCATGTGCCGATTGCGATTGGTGTTATGTAGGCGAAACCGGCCGGTGTTTTGAAACTCGTAAGAAAGAACATATCAGGAATGTAAAAACATGTGCTAATGGATCAAACATTACGAAACATGCATGGTCATTCGATCATCGCGTAGATTTTGATAATTCTAGTGTCATCGACAAAGGCTCTTTTCGCATTAGAAAAACTTTGGAGGCTTGGCACACTGCTACCAAGCATGCTGACAATAACTCTAAGTCGACTCTAAACCAGTGTGGTATTCTTTTTAAACAAGTCACCTAATCTACACATTAAATTTGCTTTTTTCCTTCTTATTATTTTCATCTCGCCTTTTCTTGCATATATTTTCCCATTTTGCATTCCATTTTTTATCCGTTAAAGGCTGTAGATCGACAGGCGAAAGCTCATGTTATTTTTTGAAATGTTTAGCCAGCGAACGTTTTTATTGTAATTTTGATTATGTCTCATCCTGGCTGCGCTTCAATCTTTAAAACAATTAGATTATTCACTCTCGATTTCTATGCATGATAGTTGACTCGGGCCGCGCCCTCGTCAACTATTTAACAATTAAATTACGAGCTCGAGATTTCTATGAGGCGATAGTTGATGAGGCCGAAGGCCTCATCAACTATTACCTCGTAGAAATCGAGAGCGAATAATCTAATTGTTTTAGTAAAATTCTTACCAAAGTTTACTTCAAATAACGATTTCCAATTATTTCTTGACGTATTATTAAACTTTGCGCCTGAAAAAGATCGCTCGGATTGAATCGTCATTTAAAATTGAAATTGTGTGTGGTGCGCATTAGTTTTTTCAATAATTTCAACTTTTTGAAAAGTCAAGAAAGCCTAAATGTCCTTCGTTTAGACTTCTCAGGAATTTAATTATCCATTTGCATTAAAATTTTTCTCCAAAACTTTGGAAAAACGAAAAAAACGTCGTCATTTCCTAGACGACCTCCAGCCACTGCACACTAATGGCTGATAGTGTTCAATGGTTCAGCGAATCAGATTACAGCATTTGCATTAGTATACTAGTAGAATTCTACTAAAACCCGATTGAAATCGAGAGCGAATGATCTAATTGTTTAATAGAAACACGAGGGGAAGTTTGGGAGAACGAGAAATGCTGTGGGAGCACGAGCCGCAGGCGAGTGTTTCCACAGCTTTTTTGAGTTCTCCCAAACTTTCACGAGATTTCTATCGGCTGTGCCCTCGTCAACTATCACGCATAAAAGTGAAGCAAATAATCTAATTGTTTTAGTATAAATCTACTAGTCGTTCGAAACTTTATCGAAATCCTCTTCACAGACACTGCGAAAACGCCAAGAAGCGGCCATCATTTTGTACACTGCTACGCTACACTGCTACTCACTATCTATCACAGAATAGATAGTGAGTATCGTAGCCAATCAGAGAGCGGCTTTCGTGATAGAACGCTAGTGGATCTATACTAATACTCGATAGAAACACGGTACATGTTTTCTAAAAGTGGCCGTTGGCCGTATTAACGGGTTGGCCGCATTTTAAATTAAAGGGGTTTTCTTTTTAGAAAATGTGTGGGCGTTTCGCTGGGACAAAAAAAGTGGCCCCAATAACGAGGTGATCGTAAGGCGGGGTTCTACTGTACCACAATGAATAATTAAGTGAGCTTGTAGCCTGTGAACAGGCTCTGTAGTCCAGGATGGGAGAAGGGGAGAGAGACGCCCTAATGTCCACCCCATTTGCCCCTCGGCCACTTCCTTTTGGCCCTTTCAACCGCAGTCAGACCCTTCCAGCCGGAACCTGTTCACAGGCTAGTGAGCTCGCCATATTGAACACTCATGGCCTGTCGCCTAGGTGGCGGCGCTAGGGCTTAAGGGACCATTAGGAATATACAATAAACGACCAGTTGATAAACAACAAATGGTGTTTTCTTTCTGTTTAATGACTTTCCACCAAAGCTTTGTTGATTGTGACTCCCAGAATAATTCCATAACTACTCACGCGGGTATGTAGGCGCGAGGTCATTACTTTTTCCCCAAAGTGAATTCTGACCGCGCAAAAAAACAGCTGGAATGTTAACTTTATGTTAAAATAAACTAATAACGACAAAAACTTGGCAAATTATTGTTTATTTTTCTCTGCCTTGACAAGTTTACAGCAAAGCAAAGTGTCTTCTGTCGTAATAATAGACAAACAAGTAAAATTATGACATACAAAAATAGATCAAGATGTAAATGTTTTTCCTGTTTAATTAAACTTTAAACCGCTTTTCAAGCTAGAGATTACAAGGTTCCCTTTGGCACATAATGCAGTTTTGCTTGTGTAATGGGCTAAAATAAGAGATGTTAAGCAACCATATGGTCTTTTAGATTTGTCTGTGTCAAGGCCATCAACCTTTTAGAAACAAGAAAAATTACCCTTCCTGGTTCGCGCTTTCTAAAATAATAAGAATTTGGTCATTGCATGTCGTTTTGCAAAGGATGGCTAAACCCCGGTCCACACAACGCGTGAGGAATTTGAAAACGGTGTTTTCACTTTGGAAACGCATCAAATGTTTTCCGTCCCCACTACGCCGGAGAAATGTAAAAACGCAACAATCACCGGTAATACAGGGTTCGTACCCTTTTTCAAAAACAAATTTCCAGGACTTTTCCAGGACGTTTCCAGGACGCCGATTGATTTTTCCAGGACTCTAAAATTCACATTAACCCTTTCACTCCCAAGATCTTAATGTTAATTCTCCTTGCTGTCTGCCATAAATTTCATATTTTTCTACTTGAGTTTAACAGATTTCCAGAACTTTCCAGGACCAGTAGCCCTTTTCCAGGCCTTTCCAGACCTGGAAAAGGCCACAATAAACTTCCAGGACTTTCCAGGTTTTCCAGGACCCGTACGAGCCCCGTAATATTGGATTTGTGTTTGAAAAACACTCGAGCAGGAAAATCACACGATTATCGTGAGGTAATCGTTTTAAAAAAGCTCCGTTTCAAAATGTTTTCTGTCCACACGAAAACGAAAAGCCGGCGTTTTCAAATTTCTCCGGTTTGAAGAGCGTTTTCGAAAAGCTCGGTTTCCGTGACGGATTAGTGTGGACCGTAGGCCTCACTGGAGAAATAAAGCTGCGTTTTAAAATTCCTCCGGCGTAATGTGGACGACACCCAAGGAATTCACCAAGAATTATAACGCACATGCAAAGCTGTTGCTTTCAATAAATCTTTTCTTTGGCAATTTTTTTTTTAACGTTATGGTTTGCTCAAGTTCCCTAATTTCTGCCCAGTGTACTATCCATAAGCCCTCATTTCAATGTAAATAATTTCTAGATAAGTGGTAGTAACACGCTGTTTCACTGAAATACAATGATAATAAAACAAATGATAACAGTGAAAAGCTAACACCTTCGGACTACAAATGGTTTAAGATGTAAGAACACACAAACTCTTCCAATATGGAAAACTATAATTACCCTTAACAGCAGCAACAGAAAAAAAATCACTAAAATCACGTGCACGAAAGGCACAGTTTAACACATACATTAGTTAGCTTTAAGTCCTCCTCTATCACATGATCGTGTCAATAATATTACACTATAATTATTACAAAATCATAATCATACCAAAGAGAAAAGAATGGTCACCAACCACTAAACTAGCTAAAAAAGCATGCCAAAAAATGCTCACTATTTAAATTCTAATTTTTCAAACATTACACCGTTCAAGACGTAAAAACTGAGTTTCATTAACGAGCTACGATTTTGTTATCAACACAGTCTCGTGATTGTTCCCTGTTACACAGGCCTTACAAGCATTGAATGCGACAGCCAACAGTCATGGCAAATAATCGCAATGATTTGTTATTTATTTATTTTTTTCTTTTTTTAAAGCAGTGGTTATATTGACGAAATATTTCAAATACAGTCAATTATTGAGTGGGACATAATTTTACACAACTTTCTTGGGAAGCACTTGTCTCCAAACCCCTTAGTAAGGAGCTTAAGCAAACGGCAACGAGAACGTCACAAAACAAAAGGTTTATGAGTAGAACAATAGCTGCGCACGTGCGTTATAAATCTTTGTAAAATTCTCAGCCGTCCTCTGCACAACAACAACGTGAAATATGTTCTGCGTATTTTGGAAAACGCAAACGACGGCGACTAATTTTTCGTATTTTCATTTGGAATCGAACGCTAGCGTTACATATTTAGCTTGAGCAAGTTTTCAGACCAATAGGCGCACTAAACAGATTTAGACAATAGCGAAAATCAAAGGTAAAATAGAATTCATTTTTTACTAGGCGTTGTCCTCGGGGTCGCCGTCGTCATTGCTTAAGCTCCTTAATAGCTTGCACTGTCAGTGACCCTTGCAAACATTGAAGTATAATGCCAACAGAATAGAAATTTATCTGAGTTTGACAAGTCAAAAAGAACAAGGTTTTTGGTGAGACGAAGTGATGGGTGCCCATTTTGCAAGAACGAAAGAAACTCAGTGCCATTTCATTTCATGAGCTCAAGCTGCCAAAACTCCAACGTTTTCTGGCTTCCACCTTAACTGAAACAGCTGGCTAAGCTAGCATCTATTCACCTAAAACCATTTCTACAAATTGACCGGTCCAGCCGGCTGGAGATGAGAAATGGTACAATCAGAAATTTCCTTTTATAGAGCCCTGCAGTCACTAATAACATCAACCCTATTTATCTTCAAAACCTCACACAAAATGTAAAATATAATTGGGTACAAAACGTTCACCACAAGACTGAAAACGAGTAATTAAAATATATTTAGCCTAATAATAGAAACTTCTGTTTTAAAGCCACATAAATCTTGTTTTTCTAGCTGTTTCTTAGGGTGTCACATTCTACCATCATAAAAAACGAACCCCTGAGTTTAATCTATATTATTATAATAATTGTAACTGATTTGTTCCAGACCTAAACAAATTCTTGCCACAATTTTTAACAATAAACATAATTTGGTAAATTTCCCAGAATAATATTTTGAAAGAATCTGCAATTGACCTCAAATGCATCTGCGCTTAACGTACATAAATTTGTCGTGAAAATTAAGAATAGTAAAAATTAGCACAATTATTTCACCATTTTGATCCAAAATCATAAACTGCGTGCAAAGACCGCCTCTCACCACCTCAACAAATGCCATACATGTTGTGATCAATATTTGTTTCCCCTAATCGTCAGACTTTGAACATAGGCTTTGGTTTAATTGTTCAGATGGCTATAGCGGTGCGAAGAAAATACAGTGATTTATAACATTCAGTGCAATCAATAGCTTCACACAGGTAATTTTAAACACTTTTATCTTTTGCCTGATTGGCTCTCAACAAATCTACCATTATTATATAATACATAATTTTTTCAATATAAAATGAAAGCCTGACTTATAAAATATAAAAGCTAGAAGTCATATTACTCTAACCATGTAACCTTTCAACAAGCTCAAAGTTCAAAGGTCGTCGTCTCCAATCCCTTCAAACACCTTGTTTGTTGTCATGGCAGCATTACTTGACGGAGCAGTTGCCGGTTTGGGTGATTGTCCTTTACCCTGTTTACAAGAACGAAGAAAATCATCATCATCATCTTCATCGTCATCGTCACCGTCGTCATCATCATCATCAGTCCTAACTAATCTTGTCAATCACAGCTTGTGTGCTGGCAGTAAGTTTGAAGATAGCCTGCGAGCAGGCTCACCTTTGAGTCACGCGCGCGAGCGGCGAAGAGCAAAGCGATCCAGCGGGAAAGAGTCTAGCGAAGAGGCGCCAAGAAAGTGATTCTCGTCTCGCGGCTTCGCCGCTCGATTTTGTGCTCGTGGCTACGCCACGCGTGCTTGTGCTCTAACGTGAGCCTGCTGGCAGGCTAGTTTGAAGATAAGACCAGGAAAGAGAAGATAAAAGAAAGAAGATAAAAAAAGTGCTGATTAAAGACAGACTGTACACTTTTGCACAAAGTGGCTTTTGTAATATAAGGCTTATGAGATGCAAAAATTGTCTCAGACATTCACTATTCACCATTATCTGAAGCTAGAGTTTTGATACATATTGTTACATGTCGAGGACATGAATATGGTACCACCATTGCCACACCCTTACAGTGAGGCAAGTTTTATTACTTACTGCCGATTGTTTGGATGTTTTTGGTTTTCCCGGTGAACTCTGTTTCTGTCTAGCTTCTGGACTTGTGGATGGAGAAGTTGAACCATTCACAGTTTTGCTCTCTTGTTCTACGTCACCCTGATTCCAGAATTTAAACAAACATGTTAACCAGCTAAAACAGCTACCCAGGCCTGATAAAGTTGTAAAGAAAACAGTGGGTGTTTGGCCATGTGGGTTTGTGTGAGATAATTGTCACAAAACTATATGCATGATGCATTTATCATCTGTTCCTGTTTACTTGTATATATTAATTTATGTATAAACTACTCAATATAATGTGGGAGGAAAAACACAAATAAACTACAAGTTCGTCCCTACAAGCCTGTTTCGTGGTCCCTACAAGCCTGTTTCATCCCTTGATGAGTGGGCAACCACGAAACAGGCTTGTAGGGACAAACTTGTAGTTTATTTTACAATGTGTTTTTCCTCCCACATTATATACTTCGCTCTACTCTGATGTATTGAGTACTGTTTTACGAAAATCAAATTTTACACTTTAAACTACTCAGTATATACCCAAGGACATTCCTATGGTTTTAGAGCCAAATACAGTTGTTTACATCTTGTCATTAATATATTACAAAAAGAAACTTGCAGTCATCTACAGTCATCTACTATACATCTACAGTCTAACCCTACAGTCTGCCAAACTTCAAATAATTGATGAAACCATAACCTAGGTTACGGTAAATATTCATTGTATGAGCTGGTGTAGTAAACGACTATGGCTCTTTATGATTAGATGTGCCACAGGCACCTTGAAGCTTTATAATTTATATACCTCTGTCGATGCATCAGATGTCACAGAATTGGTACGCTCAAAACCTGGACTTGCTTCCTTCTTCATCTTTGCACGATCTTTAGGCTGAGAAACAAATTGGTTGAACAACAGTATAGAGTTAAGGACTCTCTCTTAGGATGCAGGTCAAAGGACATTCCCAGTCTCAGGGGTGGATCCAAGATTTTTCTTAGGAGGGGATGCACCACTAAGAAATGGCATAACTGACCTGTGAGGTAAACAAATATTAAAAGCAAATGTGAAGAGGGCTTCATCTCAGGGGGAGGGGGGGCACACTCCCTGCACCCTTCCCCTAGATCCACCCCTGAATCTCATGCCATCAGATGCTTAGCACCAGATCACAGGACATAAGGCCAAAGAACAAAAATACACAGGTAACAGAGAAAATATCACGTGTTACATGTACGTCATTACACTACTGTAAGCGAAGCTCAACATGTCACACAACACTGTCCGTAAGTCACCTACCCTTTTAATTGGTTTTCCGTTTTTTATTCTGAGGATTTCATCGACAATACTCTGAAGGCAAAGGCTCAACAGGATTGCCTGTAATAAAATAAAACACAATCAGACCAAGTTCTGTTAATCCCTAGAGGAAAACAACACGTCCAAAACTGTATTCTCAAGTAAACCAACAACATAAAACAGTAGCCTTAACAAAACTAAAAACTCCGCAAAGTGGCAAAGAGGGAAGTGCTGTGAACCTCTCAGGAAACTTTGTCATTTGTTGATTGTTTAGTTTCAATCTTAAATTTTGTCCACTTTTCAACTGTTTCAGTTAACTGTTGTCATAAAATGAGTTTTCAAGCTATATGATAATTCGCCGTCAAGGACTGAATCTCTAAGAGTCTACATAATGCAAAGGAGTTGATATCACTTATAAATTTGTATCAAACAGACCCCTATCACTTGCTGACACAAGAAAGCGACCAGTAAGTTTACATTTTGATTGGTTAGTTTTTCCCTTGGTGGCCTGGTTCAGGTGGTCACACTGTAATATGTTGCATGTTACTCTCACAACCTGATCAGCTCTCAGTTGGCTTGATAGTTCAGTTGGTAGTGCACTGCACCAGTATCACAAGGGTCATGGGTTTGAATCCCGTTCAAGCCTGAATGTTTTTTTCAGGCTTTGATTTGACAGCTGCTTAAGTTGTGTGTATAACTGCGATGATCTTGAAACCATGTCTTCATATGTTACAATAATACGTATAAATAGAGCTATTCTTCCCTGTGTAGCCATGACTCAGTCTCCTCTTACAGCAGGTGTACTGAACAAAGCTGAGGCTCAACTGTTAATACCTGATCACTGTAGATTGTTATCCATTCCATCTGGTCTTTCCTTATGAGATATTCAAAGGCTAGTTCCAAGTGTTCCTCCTGTTTTCCATTTTCATTAATGTCACTCTAGCAGAGAACAAACTTGAAGGGATTACTGTACGTCACAACTCTTACTTATGAGGCCTTCCAAGGGGGGTAGTCATGTTGCCATGTCACATCCTTTTATGTAATGATGTCGCCTAACCAGCCGAAGAAAATGTCGCCGTCGTTTTTCTACATGGTCATATGTTGCTGTTGCTACAAGGTTGATTTTTTAGTTTATTCAAAGAAAGAGCATGCAAGTTTCTGACATGTACAGACTTGACAGGAGAATACAATTTCTAAATAGGCAAAAAGTCCAAAAGGGACAATGTCGTTCTTTTTTCTAGTGCTTCTGGTGTCGCTGTCAAATTTTAGTGGGCTGTTCAATTCGCTTGTCGCTGACTAGAAATCTCTGTGTCACTTGTTGTCGCTTGTTGCTTTTACCCCTTGGAAGGCCTCACTAATACCAGCTAAATTATCCTTTGCTTTTTTTCAAATAAGGCTTGCTTATCACACTTCCTGCTACCAGTGGTTCCTCCATCCCACCATCCTGCTTACAGAGGCATCATCACAAACCTGGCGTGTTCTAAAGTATTTAAACTGTGACAAGACAATGTTTTTCTCTGATGAGACACCAAGCCTTCCCATACTAACGTATTACAACAGACTTGCAGCTGCCTGGATCACTGTTTAAGCTAAACAACAGTTAATTTTATGTTAATTGATCAATTACAGGCCTGCACCTCCAGTTTGCAGATGAATTGGTTCACAGATTAGCTTTGGTTAGGACACTGTATGCCAACCCTATGTTAGACCCTTCATAAAGTGTTATTGAGCACTGAACTTTAAAGCCAGAGAGCCTGACCATTCAAGGCCTCTACATTGTACTATTACCACCAGCTGGAGAATGTTCCATAACAGCACTACCCATAAAGTTAATTTGTCAGCTACACTTGAAAGTCAGTAGCTAGCTGGATAGTCTGCATCCTCCCAGCTCCCCACAAGTTTTTGACCAGTTGCAACATTCCATTAGAACTACAGCAAAATTGGTTGAATATATAATTTATTTATCCCCAATTGACAGTTGACACCCACTGACTGACTATCAGGTGAACTGGCATCCTGACTGGCTGCATACTCGCTATCAAACAATCAATAGACAGCACCAGAAGCTGGTCAGTCTTCAAAAATGGTTATAGTCTTGAAGAACAGAATATAATTCACTCACCGATGCTGTTATTCTCCAACACCTCATTCTTGTCACCTTGAAGCTGCCTTCTTGTATTTTGTGCTTTGAAAAAAATTATCAAAAGAAAATAAATATCATATTTAAATTACATGTCACACTATTGGAAAAGTAAAGCAGCTTCGTTTACCAACTTTTGACTCACTGGGGACTCCCGTGCTTGTCGTAACTTTTAGAGGTTAAAAAAGTGATTTTGGCATCTCTTAGGGCATTCAGCCTCAAAAGGTGAACAGCAGGAGCTTTTGTGGTACCGTATTTCAAGAGGCAAAAAACTTATGACAGGAGATAATGCATTGTTTTAGAGTTCAGCTACCAGTACCTGTAAGGGGTGTAAAAAATTTCAAGCCATGCCCCAAAAAAGGATCTTGTCACCTCTTAGAGGTTCTTTTCAAAATTCCCGACGAGTGCGCCTTGTCCTTTTTATAGGGGAATTACTCCCTCCCTGGACTTTACCATGCTCAAACTGTAGCTAGCCGTCATCTCAGAGTCCAAGGTACATTGTACCACTGATCTTTAGATAAACACACATCCCATGTACACAAACATTACAATTACTGGTAACTAGCCAATCCACATGGCGACACAGGGGCATATAGAGTGGGGTATGCTGTTAAGAAACACCTTTGGTACAAATGGCAGTGCCTACAGACTGAGTAAGCAGTCAAGGATAAGTCCACACATCATATGATAAAAGCATAGTCTAATCCTTCCAGCACAATGTCATTTCAGTTAGTAGTTCGATAAACCCAACACACAGTGTGTTAATGAACAGTTCGCTTACATCTGGAGTTTGAAGTCTGAAGTTCAGTTCTCTGTCACCAACACTAATGATAACTCTTGTATCTTCTTCAGGGTAATTTGTGATGCAAGGTTTAAACTGAAGGTATCCGTAGAATCTTAGTGATCTTGCAAGTCGCAAAAACTGAAAAAAGAATTCAAAACAATAAATTATGATTATGAACAACATTAGGCAATCTTTCACACTGGCCAGAAAAATTAAATATCTTCCAATCCTAAAGATAAGAAGAACCAGGTGGAACTTAGCACAGGCAAATGTCTACAAAAATTAAAGCTGGAAATTAAAATATAATTTGTCCTACTGCTGCAGCTGCATATACAGTAAGTAGGCCTTAGTAAATGTAAAAACGCTATTTTTTTCTTCAAATATTATTTATTTCCAAGAAAAACAACATTATCAATTTCATGTCCAGACATCAACCTAACGAGTTCTAACAGTGCTGAAAATCAACCATTTTCATTCGATTTGCAATGTAACGATTATCAAGCACATAAAAGTTGAAAATAAATACAACCTTTATTATATAAGAACTATTCCTTGTCCAAAAAAGCACAATTTCAAGGATATTGGATAGGTCTTACTAATCATTTTGTGATAAACAAAACAGACTTTTCTCCAACGTTGAGTTAGTCAGTCATTGAAAAGAATTGTCATTTTGACCATGTGCTATATATAATCTCAAAAGATCTAAGATTCTAACTATATTAGGATAGGTCATCTACACGTATGGCTAGCCTTGTTCTCCACACCAATAGCATTTTTGTTCCTTTGTGGGTGAATTCTATTGACAACGAGCAATTTCAGCCATAGCATCAAAAGAAAATCAAGCATGGCCAGCCGTAGCAGGTGTTACAGGTTGCAACCCTTAATGACAGCCCTGAACTGTGTGCATGGATAACGTGAAAGTCTCACCTGAAGTTTATCACCTTTCTTTTTGAGTTCTGCCAGTTTTGCATGAGCCTCCTTGGAGCCAACTGTCCAACCTTTCTCTAAATCACTGACTGCCTGGAAACGATCAACAACATTACTTAGGATCAGCATACAATGAATACATGAACAACCATATATTTGAACTGTGGAGAAAGATATGAAGACATGATTGATCATCGCAGTTATACACAGAACTTAAGCAGTTGTGAGATTAAGTCCCATTCAAGCCTGAATATTTTTCAGGCTTAATTTCAAAACTGCTTGATATTAAGCTGTATCAATTAGCCTAGAAGGAAAATTCCCAGCTCAAAAAAAAAAAATCTTTCGTATGGAAATCGGCCTTGGTTAAATACTGCAGGACCAACAGCTTTAATTTCACAAAAATAACCTATTTGCAAGGCCCTTACCTGCACATACAATAGATTCATTCCTATTCTGTCCTGAGTGATCTTGTCTTCTATTTTTGGATCCCAAAGCCTTCAGAAACAACAAATTAGCTCATCATTAACTTGTAGCTGAGGAAACCACTTTCAAGACTTTCTCTTTCAAAGAGTTTTAACGGTTTCTTTTTTTTCACGAGAGGTGACTGAAACTGTGCACTGCTCCCAGAGACCCAGGTCTTGTAAGGAAACAAGAAATATTATTTAATTAACAGTTGTATCTCACGTTTTTCTGACAGCCACTCTGCAGGTTCCTGTTTCTTGCTTGATTGTCAGAAAAGGTGCTTCAAAGTCTTGAAATCTTCTGACAACTACACACATGTAACAAGCAAAAGCATCATATCATGAGAACACAGGAATGGTCATGATTCAGACAAGCTTTTGACATGTAAGGAGAATTGATAGTTAATCAGCTTACTGGCTGCCTCTCCGTCGTCTGCTCTTTTGATCAGAAAGAGTCCAAAGTAGTAGACCAGATCTTCATGAAGACCAATCTCTGCCATCAATGCCTGGAAAGAGATTATATTGTATGAACTGAGAGCTGTTTGTATGTTTATCCAGCTGCTTGGCTAGCTAGTTGATTGAGTAGTCTTATTAACTCATTTTTCTCAATTTCCTCACCAACTGATCCTTGGACTTTGCATAGACTTACTGGAGTGCCTGCAGTGTTGTGGACTGGCCTTGTCGGGTTAGTGCTTCACATATGGTTAACCTCATATTTGCACCTTTCCCCTTGGGCAGAATTGTCCCAGAAAATTGTGCCTGAGTCTTATGGGGGGGGGGGGGGCGTATAAAAAGGATGGGGGTGCTCATTGTACCTTTTAGGGGTTAAAAATGCGGTTTTGGTACGTCTTAGAGTGTTTAGCCTCCACATGAGATGACAGGAGATAATGTGTTGTTTTAGAATTCGCACCACCTAAGGGTAAAAAAAAAAAAAACACAAGCCACGCACAAAAAACGGGATCTTGGTACCTCTAGGGGTTCTTTACAAAATTTTCGGATCATTTTTATATGGGAGGTCTCCCCCCGGTAAANCACTCCTCAGCGAGACGACGAACATCCCTGACCTTTTCATTGGGAGTTCCCCCCCCCTCCCCTCGAGGGTTGATCAAGCACTTTGCAAAATCAAGAATTCAAATAGTTGTAAAGAATAGGCTGTAGACTTTAGATTTTAATCTATATTCTCATTAATCTTTAGTTTATTGTCGACCACTCAACGTGCAATAATTTTTGACAGTTAGCGCAACTTTCGTATGACCTTAAAAAAGTGTTTTCGGGATTTTGTTTCATTCGCCAGTAATTGAAAGAACGAAACATGTTGCTCATTTTCCTTTTGAAAATATCATTATCCGTCATGTGGAGAGAGCATTGCTTGATTAACCTGTCAGTATTCCCAAAAAGCGATTGGCGTCAAAGAGGATAGCAACTCGTACTTTTGCGGAGTATTCGCTAGACCAACCAAAAATCGCACTCGTTCTCCGCCGTTTGCGAAACCAATCATATTGTTTACTTCTAGTTCGTTGGTTGTTTTGATCGCGTTGATGCGAAATAATTTCACGGTCATATGAAAATCGCTCTGTATTGAAATGATGGCTATATCATTTTTTTTTTCTTTTTTACAGTCGTGTGCTTCAGAGTGGAGAGTGGTTTTTTACATTGGAGGATTGATCTACATCGTTGGAGCCATATTCTACTGTGTTTTTGCTTCTGGCAACAAGCAAACCTGGGTGGCTGGCTACTCCGAGCTGACAGAAACTGATGACGATGACGACGAAGTAGATAGTTAGTGACTGGCAAGAGTTCATCCGCCAGCTAACGCCCCTTCCAAATTACGCCGGAGAATTTGAAAACGCAGCTTTATTTCTACAGTTAGGCGTGGTGTGGACGGAAAACATTTAATGCGTTTTCAGAGTGAAACCTCTGTTTTCAAATTCCTCCGGTGCAGTGTGGACTATCAAATATTTTAATTTGCGTGCTCTATTCATGTCACGTGGCACTGTCAAAATTAGGGGATATCCGCGGATATTCCGCAATCGATTTGCCCAGATTTTGAATTCGTTTGACCAGTTTTCCTCCCAAATAGATAATTATTTTGATGAAGGTATTGATATTGTAAAGTAAATAAGTAAACGTATTTATTTACAAATAACAATTATTCAATGAGGAAATGGTAGTAATACAATTTTATTTTCATAATTTCGTGACTATGTACAGGGAATTTANTTGTGATATTTTTATCTTAACATTAATACTAAGTAGACAAAAAGACAATGAGGATCAATTTATAGTAGATAGATTCGGCGTAAACTCAATTTAGCCAGAGTGAAATCTTTCGGTGGTTACCGTTTTCATGAAAATAAATGGTCTCTAACAACTACCAACTGTTTCTCCTCAAAAAGCATCTACCAAACTAGCCATTTTGAAAAAGGTTTGCAAACCGTAAAAACCCTGAACTGTTCACAGTTAATTCTCCGTGTTTGAGTTTCGCTCGTCGTTTCACACAAGCTGATGATTAGATGGTCGTGCGTTGTAAACAACGGCTGCAGGCAGCTGACCTTTGTTACCGGCAGGTGCAATAAGCAGCTTTCCACGTCTTCTCTGTCGTACCCAGCGCACTGTTAAACAAATGAACGCGGACAGGAACAAGCTGGCGACGACAGCGATCCAAATGCCGTGTTTTGAAATGACCATAGACATATCTCGTCTCTTATTACGGTGAGTATTTTTCTGAGCTTTTTCTGTGAGTGGGACCTTGCTGCCAAGTTCTATGGAATTGGTTGATGTGTTCGTGTTCGAAGGCAAAGTCGAGGCTTGTGTTTGATTTTCTCTCAGGCGAAACTCGGCCAAAATTTCGTGGACATGATCCCCATTGCCACCGTCTCCGCTCGAATTCTGAGTGGGTCTGCTTGCGTTACTTTGGGTCAGCGGCAGAGGTCGTCGCGTACCGCGATGACTGTTGGGTATGATTGGAAATCCCAGATGATCTACCGGAGCATCGCTTTTGTTTCCCCTTATCAACTTCTCTATTTGAACCTCTGTTAGTCCTGTGTAGTTCAAGGCAGGTCCACCAGTTGGCCTTGAGGTGTTTCTTCGTCTTGTTGGCGAGGCAAAGACGGGACGGCGCGTCAAAGTTGTAGCTACTGTGGGGACCCCGGTGGTGGTTACGTTTTGCACTTTAGTTACGTTAGGCGAAGTGTTGTTATGAGACACACCACGCTTGACTCGGTGCACGTGATTGAGCATGTAAGAAGCTAAAGAATAATCAATAAAATGTTAAGAATGAAAGAAAACACTTTCAATGGTGATTGATTAGCTGTAGAGTGCATGGAGGTTACTTTGCTAACACATGAATCTAGGTAGACTGCAAGGTTTCAAACTACGGTTGCAATGGACTTGAGAAAACCTGCAAGGGTCCAATGAAAGTGTGAAAAAGCTGCGAAAAAAGTTATCTTTAAATAGCTTATTAAAATAACGCCGGATCCAAAGTTGCTTTTCTTACAACAGGCCTCTATTCATAGCTAAACTAAATCTAGTGCTTAAGGGGGCACAAGCACTTTATTAGAGAAGCAATGTATACTTTGAAGTAAATTTAATTACTAGAAAAAATATTTATGTCTTCAAACTTGTGGCACGTTTTGCAACAAATCGCTCTGCATCATCATGTATTTCTTATTATTTTTAAAACAAGTAGACTGCATGGTAAACCATTTGCTGCTGTGGTATCCTGAATTGTGTCTTTTACTGTACTGAGAGAAGAAAGCCAGTGAAGAAAACTTGAATTTTTTTACTGTCTGCTACCAGCTCAAGAAATTAAGTACCAGATGAATACATGAAAATAGGCTTTCAACCATGTGGATAACACCGTAATCATAATTCTGTCAGTAACTATTTCAATGTTGACATAACATAAAATGCAGTCCAAGGATTTTGTTGTCAGTCAATACTCAGAATTATTTACAGTCACGAACATTTTGGTATACCTGGTGAGATCATACCAAAAAAAATGCATTTAGCTTATTTGCAGATACGAAGAAAAACAGACATTCTACAAACAGAAGCATCCGCAGAAGATCGTTCATTTATTGCCTCTTTGTATTGAAGTTTTTAACAGACACAGATGAACGGCATTTCGAGTATTTAGCATGCTTAAACATGCTTTCGATTTAAGAGTCACAGGAAACGTTTTCCGCTATCAGTCATTGCTATCTGCTATGTTTGCAAATAGTGCAACCGTTTGACGAGTTTTTCAAGCACGTATTTGCAACGTACTTCCTTAAGGTTGTGACTAAAGTGTTGACCTGTAGAACATACGAGAAATACTTTTTTCTCTAGAACAATAGGAGCGGGGTTTTTTTATTATTATATCTTCAAGTGCTCCCTAAAAGACACTTTGACAGCTAAATATAGAAGCGTTTCGTCATCAGCAGTGAGACCAGAATCCTTGATTTATACCCCTAAGCCAGAAGACAAGCATCTCCGACCTTTTCATATGGTAATTCCCCCCGCCCTCGGAAAAACGTGCTTGGCAAGATTCAGTGAAACATTTCTTTTTCATATGTTGCGTGCATGAAGAAAAGAAAACATTGACACGCCCCGCAACGGATCAAGAGCCAAGCTCATATTCTGAACTTTGGGCCGCTTCTTAGACATGTCTTTGTTCTCGCCATTCTTGTGCAAGTTGCGAACATTTTTCCTTGCTCTTTAAGTGGTCGCTATCGACACTCTCTTAAGGTTTGAGAACCACTTCACCACGTAACATAACTGCAGCAACGTGCGAAACACATCGTGTGGCATCTTAAGTGTTTTCTAAACCTATGCAATCCTAACTCAACGTTTTCTTTATAGACTACATGACAACATGAATGCACTAACGCACGAGCTGAGGAACTTAATCAGAAACTCGAGGAAGGCAAAAATAGGGAAAGTAAAACTTCCCGTTCTTTCGTTCCAGATACCAGAGCTTTACAATTCGTGGAAAACCAGAGGAAGATAATTTGTGGCTGCCTGACAGAACTCTTCCAGAAGTCAGACAGTTGAATTGAACGATGAAGATGGACATGCAGGCGCAGTTTTCTACTACAAATGTCAGACTGAAGCCTCGCTCTTACCTCGTTCTATTTGCTGCAAGCTTCCAGCTGCAGCGGGTGTTGCCATCGACAGAAAGTACGAACAAATAATTAACGCCGTAACAAGCAGGACCGTTGGACAAAACGACTTCATTTTCACAACTGGTCACAGGTAGGCGTCGAGTGCACAAGGCGATTACGCAACCTGGTAGTTGTATAGGAAAAACTGATCTGTACAGGTCTATCTTGCGAGGGCTTTTGCAAAACTGATGAACTGGCTGTGTTTTAAGCCTTTAGTGAATCGCCCGAGCTGTCAACACGATCGTTTTATATGATTGGCAGCACACGTAGTGTCCGTCATACGTGTCACTCATTTTTGCGGTCAGAATTATAATTTTTGCCACTTGTCGACCTTGTCGACCACCCGACTGAGAATAGTGCTATAAGCCTTGTAGTTATTTAAACTTTCTAAAACTGAAACTGATATTTCCTTAGCATATAGGGGACTCGTTGAAGCCATGGCTGACAAGTATCCTAGAGCCACCAAAAGAGAAGTTCAGAGAAAGGATTGCCATCCATAGATGAACAAAAGTATTCGCCCAGAATTGACCGTGTTTTCCGTTGCAGAATTGTGTGCTTTAGGGCTTCAAAAGGACCATTACTTTTTGAATGTCGAACTCCAACTATCAAAATCATAGTGAAATTCGACTTTACTTGGGATCCAACTTATTACATTCATAAATGATTCCATAGTACGTCGACACTAACATTAACATAATTCACCCCTGTTGGGCACCTTCATTGTGAGGTAATTTAGCTGACTATTCAGCCAAAGCAATCAGGCCTGATTAGCCTTTATTTATCTTCAAGGATTATCCAGTATATGTTTTGTACCATACATTCAAACGAACTTTTATAAACAAAACACTGTGGAGTTTCGTGTGTCCAGAAATAAGGAAGGCTTTTAGTCAAGGTTCTTAGGAAGTCAAAAAAGTTTGGAATCTCAGGCTTGAATAACTTACCTAAATTAGGCTTAAAGTATTAAAGCCAAGAATGTGGAGTAGAGTTTCGAGATGAAGGAAATTGAAGTGACATTGAAAAATTACAGCATTAAAATCATACGAAATCACGCAATCGACTTCAAGAGTGCCAGCGAGTTGTTTCGAGAAGAACTGAGAAACAAAATCTAAATCTGCTGCTTCTTGGAATCTTAACACCTCTTTGAATGCTTGGTTGTATTCAGACAGTTGAAGACAGAATAGAATTGTTCAAATTCTCGATTGCAAGTCCAATTTAGAGCTGATTTGCTGAAGTATTCTTTTATACCATTATATTATTATATTCTATTTTTATACCAATTAACTCAAAAGAACCTAATTGACTTTACATTTTTGAAAAGTTGTTTACGAATTTTCCACTGATCAAGGTCACTGGT